TTTGTTCTTCTGCCATCCATGGTAATTCAATATTCTTCTCTAATAACCATAATTCAAATGTGTTGATTTTTCTATGGTCTTCTTTACTCATTGTCCAACTTCCTCATGCATATGAGGTCATTGAAAATATCATGGCTTGGGTCAGGATTATCTTAGTCTTCAAAGTGACATCTTTGCTCTTTAATACTTTAAAGAGATCTTTTTCAGCAGATTTACCTAATGCAATACATCATTTGATGTCTTGACTTCTGATTCCATGAGCACTGATGGTAAATCTAAGCAAAATGAAGCCCTTTACAACTTCAGTCTTTTCTCCAGTTATCATGATCTAATTTATTGGCCAAGTTGTGAGGATTTTTATTTTCTTTGCTTTACAGTGCAATTCATACTGAAGGCTGTAGTCTATGATCTTCATCAGTAAGGATTTCAAATTCTCTTTGCTTTCAACAAGTAAGGTTGGCTCATCTACAAATCATAGGTTGTTAATGAGACTTTCTCTGACCTCCATGCCACATTTTTCTATATATATTTACATATACATAAACACCTCTGAAAAGACACATAAGCTGTTAACTGGCTATATTAGGGAAGAGGAAGTGGGTGAGAATAGGGAGTATGAAGGGGACATTTTTAACAAATATCCTATAAAACATTATAAAACTTAGTGGTTGGGTCCCCTCAGAGCAAACCCCCTTCCAAGACTAAAACTCAGTGGTAATACATGCTCTGATTGGTGACCACGCTCATCATTGATAAGGGGAGGTGAGGGAAAAACAGCAATGAAGCTGCGAGCTAAGCCCTAAAACGTTCAATAGACTTCTGTGAATCCAGGTGGAGACCTGGTTGGCCAGCAGTGTGGCAAGACCTGGGCACTTTTCGACCCAGAGTCAGTGACATAGCCACAGAGGACTAGAGAGAGTGGAGAGTGAAGCATCCAGCTGATAAGAAGAGAGGACATATGCACAAGAACACCCACACTTGCAGATAATACCCACTTGACCTGGCTTCAATGACTGAATGATCAGAGCTCAACTAGAAGAAGAAAGGAGAAGAAGAAAAAAGAGTAATCTGACACAATTTGGTGAACTTGACCTACACTTATGGATGCAGTAGCTCAAAAGAGGGAACTAATCTTTACAGCAAGGATCGTTCCCACCCCCTCCATACACAGAGTAGACAGGGATGGGCAACTTGGACATTGGCTACCCAGAATGGGGGTGGGGGGTCTACAAAGGCAAGAAGTGACTGGCTTACAAGCTTTCAGGAGGGAACCTAGATCCAGAGGGCATGGAGGATGGTAGAATCTCCACTGAGTAGTATCCAATCTGTCTGGGCAGGGCTGATGAAAAGAGATGGGGATAGGCCTCTTGTGGTACAATAGTGAATAATTGTTATCAGGACTGATTGTGAGGCTTGGAAATGTAAAGGTAGATGTTTTGTAGCAGGGAGAGGAGTGATTAACTTTGCAGTCTAGGAGCAGAGGTCCCTGGGACCATCAAGGGGGAAGAGCGGAGAGCAGGATCCTACCCAGAGAAGCAGTGAAGCCAGAGATGGAGGCAGAGATGATGACGTGCAGAGATAGGGCAGCTGGGGACCTAAGAGAGGGAGAGGGGCTGTGTGCTGACTACCGGGGTGCAGGCTTGTAGGGTATATATACCCTTTGGTTGGTTGATGATGCATGTAGGGGACTGTAACCATGACAGTGAAACGATATACCATAGGAAGAATGTAAAACTAATGTTCTCCCATGTAAACTATCACATAATTTGTAATAAAACATTTTAAAACAAAACAAAACATTATAAAACTTTTTGCATTTTTAAAAATGTATCAATAAATAGCAGAGACCAGAAGTTCTTGTGAGTCACAAGCGTGATAATGAAATACAGAGATTAAAAAGTACTAAAAATAAATACAGGTTAGGTGAGAAAAGAATAGGGTAGACTTAGCTGTCAGCCTCCTCCACCTATTTCATTTCCCAAAGATACACACATCTTCCTCCAAATACATCTATGCTTACTGTCATAGGTCTCACCCTTAGCTTTGTTGTTATGTGCTGCCATGTCAGTGCTTACTCATAGCAATGATGAATAGGGTTTCCAAGGAGGGTATTTTCAATAACCTCATCTGCATACGAAAGGTGGTCAGTGAATAAGGAAGACTGTAGAAGAATTGATGCTTTTGAGTTATGGTGTTGGAGAACAATATTGAAAGTGCCATGGGCTGGCAAAAGCACCAATAGATCCATTTTGGAAGAAGTGCAGCCAGAGTACTCCTTAGAGGCCAAGATGGCCAAACTTAGTCTCTCTTACTTCGGACATATTGTCAGTCACTGGAAAAGGATATTATGTTTGGTAAGGTGGAAGGTCAGAGAAAAAGAGGAAGACCCCCAACGAAATGGATTGGCCAAGTGGCAGCATTGATGGACTCAAGCGTGACAACACTAGTGAGGTTGTCTCAGGATCGGACATTGTTTCGTTCTGCTGTGCATAGGGTTGCTATGAGTCGGTACTGACTCGATGGCACCTAACAACAACAACTGGTGGGTTTAAACCAAAAACCTGCGGTTAGTAGTCCAGTCCTAATCCTGCAACACCAAACCAGGACTTAGTCACCCTGAACTTTAGAAGATTCTGTTTCATTCATCTCAAGAGGTGTCTGAAGGTTATGAATGATTTTCCAATCAAAATCATGTTAGTCTATTTCAAGTTCAACGCACATTATGTACAATGTTAAGAGATGGGTTTCATAGAAGCCATTGTAGAAATTTGGAGGGATAGCTCAATAAAGGGGGAGTGTTACAAATGTTTAACAAGCTTAACAGCAAGCCAAAAGACTGAAGATTTTTAGTCCACCGAGAGGTGCCTCAAAGCAAGGCCTTGCTGATTTACTTCCCCAAACTCAGGCACTGGGAACCCTTTGGAGCACAGTTCTATTCTCATATATACATCGGGTTCCCATGAGTTAGAATGGATTCCCTAGCAACCGGTTTATCATAATGAGACAATAAGCTTGACTTATTCATGTGAAACAATCTTAAAAGAACAAACATTTTCGTTTTGGAAAGTATTAAGGAGTCTGAGGTTAAAATAAAATTGTCTTTTATTTGGTAAATGTGTTAAGGGACACTTTAATATTACTTGGAAAATTAAGGATAACCTCTTCTGGAATTTTTAGAGATGTGCACTGCTGTAGGTAAGCTTTTAGGTACACTAAGAATAAATAAGGTCTTTGTCAAATAACATGGTCTCCTTGGAGATTTACAAGCCCATATAATGAGATGTGAGATATATTGGAATGTCTTATTATTTTATCTAATTCTCATGATATATGTTATTATATTACTATATGATACATGGTTAATAAATTGTTGTTTTTGTTAAGTGCCGTCAAGTTGGTTCTGACCCATAGAGACCCTGTTTAGGGTTTCTGAGGAGTGTCTGGTGAGTTCTTACTTAATGAACCTTTGTGTATCACAGATTGTTAATGAATCTTCCTTCAATACTGATGTCAGGATCTTCTTCATATATAGTTCAGTTTCTTGGATTATTCGCTTAGAATATAGATTGAATAAACATGGTGAAAGGATATAATCCTGATAAAACACTTTTCCTGATTTTAAGCCCCATTATTCCCTTGTTCTGTTTGAATGACTGCCTCTTGCTCTCTGGACAGGTTCCATGTGAACAAAATGAATTGAGATACTCTGAAAATGTTTCATGACCACTATACTACCAAGTGAATTTCTTCATACAAGTAAGAAGAAATCCCATGCACTACAGAATGCTTTATCAGATATAGTGAGGAGAAACAGCCATACATTATGAATTCGCTAGCTTCAGATGCATATGAAAGGTGGCAGTGAATAAGGAAGATCATAGAAGAGTTGATAAATTAGATTTATAGTGTTGGAGAAGAATATTAAAGGTACCATGGACTGTCAGAAGAACAAACCAATCTGTATTAGGAGAAGCACAACTGGAACGCTCCTTAGAAGCCAAGATGGCCAAACTTGTCTCTCATACTTTGGACAGGTTATCAGGAGAGACCAGTTCCTGGAGAAGGCCATCATGCTTGGTAAAGTGGAGGGACAGAGAAAAATGAAGGTGACCCCCAAACAAGATGGATTGGCACAGTGGCAGCCACAATGGGCTCAAGCATAGCAGCAACTGTGCGGATGGTTCAGGACCAAGTGGTGGTTGGTTCTGTTGTACACAGGGTCGCTGTTCGATGGCACCAAACAACAGCAATGTCGTGGAGCCCCATCTGTGTAGTGAGGTGCTTTGTGGATTCTTTATTGTTTTTGCACGTTGAGTTGTATTCCACTGTATGTACATAGTATAGACTGTTCATCAGTTGATAGGCGCTTATGTTGTTTACATCTTTTTGCTACTGCGAATAATGCTCCAGGGAACGTTTCTATGTGCTGTAGAGTTTGTTCCCACTCTTAGCCACCCTGTATAGTGTTCCCGCGGTATTTAAAATTTTTGTGGGAACAGAAAGCTTCATCTTTCTCCCATGGAGAAGTTGATGATTCAAACTGCTGACCTTGTGGTTTCGACCAGTGCTTATCTTTTGGAGACTCTGAGCGACCGCAATGAACAAGGGTGTGCTTGTATCTATTTATGTCACAACTCTTATTTCTCTAAGACATAATATACCTAGCAATTGTATTGATGGATATATAGTATTTTTATTTCCATCTTTATAAAAAAGCGTTATACTATTTCCCACAGTTGGTGTCCTATCTTACTGTCCCAGCAACAGAATTCCCCTCTTAAAATACTGAGAGTGAGACTGTTAAAGAATTGGGTAAATCAGAATTCCTGGGGTGGGAACTCTGCAGGTAGCCTCCATCTTTTTCCGAGGCTACCGGAACTACATTTCCCATCGACCCGCAGGGAAGCTTCCGGTGCAGCGCGAGGGCGTTTTGCTTTCCGGCGGCAACTTTTACTTCAGTTTGGTCTGTCGGCTTTACGGCTGAGGCCGAGTACCTAAACATGGGTTCCTTCCTGTCGGAGCCTTTGGACCAAAGGAGGATCACGGCGCCTCCTGATGCTACCGCGCCCGCCAGTCCCGCATCCCTCTCCGGCCCCGAAGTGCAAGGCTCGCTGATTAGTAACTGCTGGAGCTGCCGCGTGCTCTCCGGGTCGGGGCTGATCGGGGCGGGCGGGTACGTGTACTGGACGGCGCGGAAGCCCATGAAGCTCGGATATGCCCCTAGTCCCGGGGTCATTTTACAGATGGTCATCGGCCTCAGTGAGAATCGGGGCGCGGCCACGTGGACGGGGGCGGGGTGCTCGGGCTGGTCACGTGGCGGGCACACTCCCAACCCAGGTGTGTTGGGACAGTGTTCTTCAGTGATAGTGATTTTCAGAATGTGATGGTCGTTGTTAATGTCCGTGGAGTCAGTTCTGACTCTAGTGACCCCGTGTAGGTTTCCGAGGAGCGGCTGGTGGGTTTGAACCGCCAACCTTGTGGTTAGCAATCCAGTGCTGATCCTGCAGCGCCACCCCAGGACTGCGAACTCGATTGCACCCCCATGTGACGCTGTGGGTTAATGCGCTGGAATGCAAAGCCGGTTCGCACAGCAAGGTCGGCGGTTCAAGCCCACCAGCCATTCCTCGGAAATCCTATACAGGGTCGCTATGGGTCAGAACTGACCCAAATGCATTTAACAACAAGAGCAATTTATTCTTACTGGTGTGGCACTGAAGGATAAGCAATAGACTGCTAACCATAAGGTTGGTGGTTCAAAACCATTAGCCTCTTCTCAGAAACCCTATACTGGTTTACTGTGAGTCGGAACTGACTCAGTGGCACTTTAACACAACAACATTTGTGGTGCTGTGGGTTAATGCGCTGGACTGCAAACCAGTTTGAACCATAAGGTCAACAGTTCAGGCTCACTAGTTGCTCCTCAGAAACCCTGTATAGGGTCACTGTGGGTTGGAACTGACTCGACAGCTCTTAACAACAGCAAACTGCTATTGTTGTTGTTATGTGCCGTGGAGTCGGTTCCTACTCATTGTGACCCTATACAGGGTTTCCAAGTATTAAAATGAGATTACAGAATTCCCATTTTACTGCTGAGTAAACCATCAAAGCATTTATCCTGTTTCAGGTCAGTCTGGCAGGAAATGGCAGCTGGGTTTTGATCCTAGGTTTATATGGAACCAAAGCCTGTGCAATTCCTGCAAATCCTGAAGAACGCCAGAATGAGGGCACTTCACCTTGGTTTAAGAGCCTGGGATCTGAAGTCAGATCTTAGATGTGCTTTCGAAGCCTAGTTGATGTGCTCCTGAATACTGGGGCCTTATCTTTAACATTCTTTAGTGATTGGCATGAGGTTATGGGTTCTGAAATGTAATGAGTCATTTGACTTCAAACCTGAGTGTTAACCTTCTTCACCCAGCTGCCCTTTGCTTGGAAAAGTATCAGGACACACTTCTTTTTTTTTCTCTAAACTGTTTCACCTTCTGAGTTTCAGTTTCCTCTTCTGAATGAAAGAGATAATGGTAATACATCTCCCATCCGGCTTGTGAAGGTTAAATTAGATGGCACATGTGAAGGTGCATTATAAACTAAAGCTTAACTGACATCTAAGGTACTGATTCATTTGTTTCCTTAGGCATTGCGTCTTGGGGTATAGTCATCCTGGCAGACCCCAAAGGAAAATTTAATCGGGCTGACTGAAAGTACCGCTGATGAATTTGTCATCCTCCGTATCCGACTTGACCCACAGCAAGCATGGGACTCCTGGATGGGTATGGACAGACACATGAAAGAGTTCAGCCCTGCAGAGACTCAGAGACTGAAAAGACAGCTTCTTGGCCAGGAGGGCTTGTGGGCCCTCTCAGGTTCCTCAGGGGTCAGTACATCCCTCAGAAGAGCCCAGATTGTGTGTCTGATCTGGGGAAGAATATATAATAAACAAAAAAAAGAAATGAGATAGACTTTTTTTTTTTTTTAGTTCTTTTTATTTCACCCATAATTGATTCCATACCTGGTATCAACCTAACCCTGGAGCAAAACCAAAACACCAAACCCGCTGCCATTGAGTCTGTTCCAACTCCTAGCCATTGTACAGAGGGTTCCGAGACTAAAGGCGCGGACAGCTTCCTCCTCTGTGAACAGCTGGTGCCATTGAACTGCCGACTCCCCTGCAGTATGCTGCAGTATATGAAACTTGCTGTGTTCTGCTCAAACTTAGTTAACCAAGGTATATGCAGTCCTTCACCTGGTAAGAGCTTTGTAGCTACTCTGAAGTTATCTTGTTGGCAGGAACCTTAAAAGGTCCAAGTGACTTGTGTGCCATTCAGCAGGTCCTAATGTGCTGGGCTGCAAAGTTGGTTTGAACCACAGGGTTGGCAGTTCAAGCTCACCAGCCACTCCTTGGGTCACTGTGAGTCCGAACTGACTCCATGGCACTTAACAACAATAACATAGTACTAGTATAGTTCCAAAGGAGCTCTGGTAGCATAGTGGTTACGAATTGGGCTGTGAACCTTAAGGTCAGTGGTTCGAAACTACCAGCCGCTCCACGGAAGAAAGATGAGGCTTTCTACTCCCGTAAGGATTTACACTCTAGGAAACCCTGTACAGGGTCGCTATGGGTCGGAACTGACTCGACGGCACTTAACAACAACAGTATAGTTCCAAGGAGATCAAACTTCACTGTTTAGAAACAGCACATCCTAAAAACCAGCCAATAGTAAAAGACTCCATGGCAAACTATTCCAGCAAGATTTGGAACCTCTTGTGGTAATCATAAAAACTTTGCTGGTTCCTTTTCCACAAGTTCTAGAAATGTTTCTCTGCTGGAGCTGAGAACTCAGAACTTGCTGATTGTTTTCTAGAGAAACCTGTGGTTGCTGCCCGTCTTTCTTAACTGAGATTCTGTGTCCTCTTGGTAAAATAGCACGAAGCATCTTTCAAAGCAGAGATATTCTCACGATTAGCTCTCCTCACAATGGCATCTAGGCTCTGGCACTGTCTGCAGCAGATTTCATGGTTGGTTGTTGTTTAGTGCTATTGAGTCGGTTCCGACTCGGACCATGTATAGGGTCGGTTGGTAGATTTGAACCACCAACCTTGCAACCTTACAGTTCAAACCGATCGTGCTGTCCAGTGTTTATGGTACAGTGCCATACCAGGACTGGTGGCGATATGTATCATCAGCAATAATATGAAAGCTCTCTCCCTCTCTCTATAAACAAAGTCCTACATGTATTTGTACACTTGTGTAGATATATATAAGGAGCTCTGGTAGAGTAGCGGTTATGAATTGAGCTGCAAACTGCAAGGTCAGCAGTTTGAAACTACCAGCTGTTTTGTGGGAGAAAGATGAGGCGTTCTGGTCCCATAAAGATTTACAGCCTCAGAAACCCTGTACAGGGTCGCTATGAGTTGGAACCGACTCCATGCACACAGCAGCAGCAGCAGTAGACGTATATAAGGAGCTCTGGTAGCATAGTGCTTATGAGTCGGGCTGCTAACCTCAGCGTCAGCGGTAGCAGCTGACTTTCTCCCAAACCGAGAAGATGGGTTTCTCCCTTGAGAGAAAGATGAGGCTTTCTGCTCCCATAAAGATTTACAACCTCAGAAACCTTTTACAGGGTCATGGTAAGTCAGAACCGACTCCACCTCCACCATAGATCCATACATGGACCACGATGGCTCAGTGGCAGAACTCTCTTCCATGTGGGAGTTCGGTGCCTTCAGGTCAGTTCCCGTTCGCAGGGACCCTACCTACCACAGAAGGAAACACTGCCCTGTCCTGGGCTGTCCTCAGTCATTGCTGTTTGATGTTGCAGCGATGTGTCAGTTTATCTTGAGTTTATCTTCGCTGCCTGTCTACCAAGCACGATGTCCTTCCAGGGGCTGCCCAAAGTC